AATCAATATCATATTATGTTTATCTAAATCAATATCATATTCTGTTTATCTAAATCAATATCATATTATATTTATCTAAATCAATATCATATTCTGTTTATCTAAATCAATATCATATTATGTTTATCTAAGTCAATATCATATTCTGTTTATCTAAATCAATATCATATTATGTTTATCTAAGTCAATATCATATTCTGTTTATCTAAATCAATATCATATTATGTTTATCTAAATCAATATCATATTCTATTCTCAGGGGAAGCTACCTTTTATAGGTGTTCGTACACTTCCACAAACTTGTCCTGTCATTGTCCTTCGACAATGTCGGCACATTCGCAGGACTGTCACCCCCATGGATCGAATGGTATTGTCCTATTGTTAAACGCTAACCAAAATTAGTAAACAACATGACGGACTCACTGGAATGCCCGGGCGTCGATCATAAAAAGTGTGGATAGCTGCTCGAATTCGCCACTCTGTTTCAAATTTTGAGCATAAACGAATATTATACAGTACAAGGATTGCTGCCGCTGCCCCGCGCGTTAGGTATTCCCCCCTCTTCACTTCCGCGCGTGCCCGGACACTCCCTCGCGTGTCCGCGCGTTAAGTAGTAGGACCGGTTCCATCTGATGCACCAGACCATCCATCCTGCTCTTCCCAAACGCATACATTGCATGTTCAATAAAGCTAAATAAATAAATAATTTCTGTATCTAGATCAATTTTAAGTCAATCATGAAAAACTATTCAAAGGAAAATCAAGATGTGAAACTGACCTCCGACCACACCAGCCGTGTACCACGCAGCTTTCACAAGTATAGGTCCACCAAGAAATGTTAATGGAGCAATAACCGCACCAACAATACCACTATGTAACATCCAGGCTAAATGCTTAGCACCAAATCCCTCGGTATATGGAATTGAGCGACATAAAATTCCGGAACCAATCACTGCAGCAAAAGTTGCCCCAATAGCCTGAAGAAAAAAAAATCACAGTAAAACTACATAACATGTGTCTATACCGATAGATTTGAACTGGAGGATGTGTTAGCCACCCATATGAGACCATAAACACTACTCACATAAACACTACTACAGTATAATAAAACAAAGTTCTTAGTGGTCATCTGTCATTAAAACCAATTAATGGGAAATGCAAATCATTCATAACTGCTGCTACTACCACCACTCACCCCTAGAAGAACAAAAACTAAATTTCTCTATTGTAAATTTTTGAAAAGTAAGAAACCCCTTACGAGTGAGAACACTCATTTACAATGTGTTATGTTTCATATACATTTGTACCTTTTTTACTATATTATACATTAAACTTGTGAAAATAAATTCCATACAAAATACCAAAAAAGTCTTTCCAGCGAAAATAAATTCAAGCTAAAATAAAGTATTTTACAGTATATGAAAATAATGGTGAAAACAGCAGCTAATGCCCATTTCAAACACTGAAACAATTGAACTGATTTGTATATACCAGCCAGGAGTTTGACATCATTCTGGCCATTATAGCAGGACTTCTTGCGATAGCTACAGCAGACAGAGCAGTCATTCCTAATCCAGCACCAAAATACAGGTAAGTCGATCTAAGCCGATCACGTACATATTGTGGCCAAATTCTAGTATAAAAAATTCAAAGCGAATAAACACATTTATCAAAATATATCAAAAATGGTATTTGAAATATGAAATCGTGTTAGAGGCCATTGCACGCGAGTACCATGACTGGTTGGCAATAAAACAATTTGCAACTAAAGATAAATAGATGCATTTTTCACTGCTACTGTTGTTATTACAGTAAATACACATGTATGTGCCACTGTTAAGGAGGCAATAACTGTGATTATGAACATTTTTATATTTAAATAGAACCACAGAAATATGATTAGTCACAATTACATGGCTAATGTCACAGAAAATGTGATCTGAAAACTATGAGTAGAGTAGTCGCCATTTTTTTTTTTGATCGTAAGGAAGTTCTGATTAGTGTACGACATTTGTTATCAGACATTTGCAGATGCTGGATGGTAAAAATGTAAACAAATGACGTCACAGTGCAACGCTTATGCAATACACTTTGTAAATGGTTAATGGTATATTCAATTACTAACAGTCTTTGGTAAATGCCAACAACTGTGAAAGCCATTCAAAATAATTAAAATAGACAAATATTATCAAACATTGTAAATTCATTCATTTCAGACAATAAATTGAATGATACATATGCAAAAACTACATTGCATTATGCCAGCCCCTGCATGTACAACCCTAGACTAAATTTCAGCTGTAGCACTGACAACTGTACAATATATATAAATAATATTTACTTTACTAACTAGATGGATTTGTATGACATAACTACAGAGGGCAGATTGAATTAAACACGCGAAACCCTTGCTTTTCCAATATTCTAGGTTTGAAGGGCAGCATTTTATTTGAGCCGAACTATTGCTCCTCACACCAATTAACAAGATATTTTCTCTTGTATGTTTATATGATTGTGGGCGAACATGGTTTGTAGTTCGGCCTGGTTCGTTTGGTTCGATCTGGTCATGTAGAGGGGTCAATCTTATTTCAACCCTGAGAATTTATTGGAGTTGAACACATTTACACGGTTAGTTGCTGGGCTCTGATAAAATGCTGTCATGTAAACAAGGTAAACACTATAAGCTGGAACCAAGTTCAAAGTCATTAGTAGTGGCAACACTCTAGGATGGACTAAGATCATAGTATAACAGCAGGACCATGTTGTCTCCTAACAAGAGAGGAACCTACAGTTAATATGAACAAAATTACTCACACAAACTATCAGTCCTTTTAAATTTGATTTCCTGGAACACTTTTAGCTTCTTAGTTGTACAATACTGTATTCAACCAACTTTGCACCCATATATCATTTCTTTTTGTAGTTTGACTCAGTGCCCATCTCTAACTTCTAATCATGATAACACTTTTACAAATATAGCGTCTATTGTAATTTTGACTATCATGAATGGGCAGCCTAAATATGTGAAACATACTAAATACTTCTGTAAGATTCAATTTCAAAAACGTTGATTTTGGGGATAAAAATGGCCACCAGATTGTCGGAGGTCAACCAAAATGATAAAACAAATCCTCAAGGGTATTTATCCTATTATGACTTGTTCTTGTACAACTTTGAACAAAATCAGTCCAGGCATGTCAGAGAAATGATGATGGAGGAACTGAGGAATAAAACCCGAAACATAAGTCTTCATTCCGTTTTTTTGTCTGAAAATATAGTAAGTTAGATTTACTTACGCAGCCTTTTCCAGTGCTCCAACTTCATTTGACATTCCAAGCCCATAGTAACAAAGAGCTCCAATACCGACAGCAGATGCTCCGGCCAACAGACCCCTACCACCTATGATTGCTGCAATACAAGCACATTGCACAGTTACTGTAAAACAGCAATATACCTTGATTGCATTGGAGGTAACTATAACAACAAATGGCTACTTGAAATGTGGATAAACTGTTTAAGCATTATTTGAAGCAAATTTCAAGTGTCAATCAGACCAAATCAACAGAGTTTCAAATTTCTGACAGAACCTTTTGTATAGATGTTCTGCAATGAGCATGTTACATTATAATGCATTAGTTTCTGTGTCTGTACTCTAATGCCTTAACACCATAGTATCTATGAATTCAACAACAAGCAACATTCTTTACAAGCAGCCTTGAAGAAAAATTTATACAAAGGAATAACAAAATTAATGTTACCTGATCCAGATGCTGGTTCCTGTGCCATTTCTTTTAGAGATTTCGTCTTTGTTCTCTCTGCAGCTCTCCTTGCTCCTAATCTTGACTGTGATGCATATCTCTGTGTTTGTATGAATACTCTAAAGGTACTTTTTAATTGCAACTGTTTCGGTGATGCTCTAGTCATAAATACTTGTACAGGCACTGAGATGCTCGCCTTCAACGGCATCTGTATTAATTTGGCAGCAAACATTATGTTACCTGTAGAGCAAAAGATTAAGGTGGAAATCAGCGTTGTTCACTTTTATTTCTGCTATGTGTTTCTGTTATTAAAAAAACTTGTGTGGAATAATGTCACAACAGATCATGTGATAGCGCCTTGTGATTAGCTGGATGGACAACAAATATACTGTGGAAAAGGAAATACTGTAAAACATTATGTTATTTTAGCTAGCATGTTATTTTAATTTCTCTAATTCAAGATGTCACTTATTTCAAAATTCTGTGTACTATGGCTGCCAGCACTATGGAGTCGGTGAATTCTGGCAAGTTTCGATTAATTTCTTGGTGAGAAAACTGTACATTTTTATGTAGAATTGACACCTTTTATTAATAATTAAAATAACGTGCTAAATTAGCTAATCTGTAATTTTGCTAATTCAAGATGTCACTAATTTATAATAAAATATATTCTCACAATGAAGTTGTTGGCATTTTAGCTAAATTAAGATTCAGTCAAATTCACTGAAATGGCACGTAGCTATTTAAACATGTTTTACAGTATTCACTTGGTTTCATTTTAACAGAATTGACGTTGAAAAAATATTCACTGAGGTCAAGTTTTATTGTTTGAATTTCAATATTCACTAGGTTTTGATTTAGTACATTTTGTGAGATAAGCGAAAATAAAATAATTAAGCCCTGTACAGTATGCAAATAAAAATTCATTGTCTTAGTCCCTTCCACAACCTGGTTATTGTGATTCTGGCTCTCACTCTATAGTGCCACAGATTTGTCGGGCATATATATTTTGCTCGCCCAACTGCACATGGGACTATGACCCCAGCTAATAATGTGTCAAAAAGACATACTAGTGATTGGTGGTGGTTTCGATTGCGTGATATGAGGAAATGGTGTACTTTTATATTTACTTTTATTTTCGACACCGTTTAGCGGCGCACGTTTGTGTTACGCAAGTCTACGGAGGAACGATACTCTTCAGTGTCGATAAAATCCAAACATCTAAAAACAGCATATTTCAAAGACATTGTATCAAAAATTGCTAAAAAAAAACAAGAAGAGCTATGGAGCCACAGATAGGCTTGGACAGAAGGACGGTGTACAATATGTATTCAGGGCTAAACATATCAAAAAGAAGTTGACATACTACACTTAATAACAGTCAATAATGCACTGAGTTTACTATTCTAAGGGAATTGTGGTTTTGAAGCTCCATTCTTACAATCGCCGAGTGTTACTCACTGAATCCAATGATGACGAAATGTTGTTGTACTAGGACGTCAGACTGTCAGAGACTGCCACGAAATGCGCATATTATTGTAATTAGAAATATCCAGCGACATGCTCGTACATTGTATAGCACATCCTCCCTTACCTCGTTCCGATCCACTGACTGCAGTGTGACTTTTTTGTTACAAACGCAGAAAAGAAGTCCGATAACGCAACAACAACATACAACAACGAATGTTCTCGCGTGTGTTCCCGTAAAAGAGTGGCATTCGATGGGGGCGCTTTATTGTCGCAAAACACGTACAGATTAATTACTAAGTTGCAAACCTATGGTATTTGCAACCACTTATTAAATCCGGTCGTAATTGAGCCAGCATCAACAAAGAATGACTGTGAATGGTACTAATTCGGACGGGTCTTAACACAAGCCACGGTTACTAATTAGTAACCGTGCACAAGCGGTGATCTCATAAGGCTTAAAGGCAGTGGCCTTGGTCTAAACTTTTTTAAAAGTCATATTGTTTTTTCGACAATAAGAAAGATGAAAATGGCTAACATTAGTAATAGCGCAGTGTTGGTGAGTGACTGAGAAAATAAACATAATCGTTCCATTATCTACGTGTAAGCAAGTCCATCTTTAGTCCTGCTCTGTCCGCAATATATCAATGATTTAACAATGATATTCCCAATGTAGTGTGCATCATTTTTTAAGCCTTTTAGGTCAAATAGTTGAATACTGGATTGCGAGGATATCGATAGAAATGTTAACAACCTGCGTTGTGTCGTTAGTGTTATCTGTTTTAACATTTTATTGTATTTTTTATATCTGTATTTCTTGTTATTGTGTTGTTGTTGTTTTTGATTATTGACCATGGTTAATGTATTCCCAATTCATTAATTTGAGTCAAATAAAATATACTATACTATACTATACTATACTATGACGCCTTAGTCGATTTTGGCTAAAATTCCGCTCCGCCGCCTCTTCACAACAGTGTTTATACGTGGAACTTGATATTGCTTTTTACAATTTGGGTTGCCTTTTAATCACATATTGTTGTGAAATGTTGTTTATTTAGTGAAATATTATTGTCATACATAATTCAATTTTTGAAACAACAGAAACTAACACATAATAACGATAATAAAATTTGTGTTTGAAGTTCGAAAGTAGTTGCCTTATTTCTGGTTTCAACTAGTTCGAAAATAGAACGTTCTTGAGCGCAAGTAAATCACACGTAGAACGTCATTGAACGCGTAGAACGCCTTCCGAACCAGACATTAGCAGCGTAAACTTATTGCAAATTTGTCCAATTTTGGGGCCAGTATGTCCTTACAATATTTCTAAGTTTTATTTATCGTTTTTTAGTAAACATGCCCCTGAAACGATTTGATATACCCGTAAAATACGTGCCGGCCGACGATTCACTTCTAAACATTCGAAATTTCGAACAAACTCCCGACACACCTTGCGCGATATGCGTCAGATCGGTGTTGAAAGAACGCCGACCTGCAGCGTCAATGAACAACCTGGGCAAGGTGGTGGCCGTCCTACGGAACAATGGTCACGCCGTTGCCTGGGAAAGATGGTATAGAATGGGCGGTGGTCAATGAAATTACACCCTAGCAAATGTAAAAATTATGCGAGTGTGTAATTGTCATCCACCCTACAGCTATACTATGACTATTGTACTATTTGATCAAATTTTAGTTGAGAAAGATTTTGAGGTTCAATATTGATCCAAAATCGCAATTTAAGTTTCATAATAGTAGAGTTCTAGACAAGGCAAACCAAATAGGTATTATTCGTATGAGTTTTAAATTCGTGGTATCGAATTCTCCTTAAGTAAACAGTTAGACAGATTCTCGATTACGACACCACAATGTGGCAGCTCCGTTTCAAGTGTGACTCCTTGGCCATAGAGGGCGTTTAACATCGGACATCTAAGACTGTCGTTAGTCCTTAGGGGCTGATCAGTTTTTATGGCCGGGACTGGGCCGGCAACTTTTTTTAAATGTAGAAACAAAATCAATACCCCCCCGTAACCGCAATGAAAATTATGGTGCCCCCCCCCCGGACAAAGACTAAAAGTAATGTGACACACACACCCCCATTTTCAGTTCTTTTTAAAACATTTTTATAGTTAATTATTTAGTATAGTTATAGTTAGTTGTTGTAGATTGTCTGCATACTATACTCATTGAGTGAAAAAAAGAATGTTTTTTTCCAAATAAGCAAAACAGTGCATGTCTCCAAGTGCCTGCTTGTCCCCTAGATCTTGTTGTCACTGTCTACCGCACTTCACTGTGATCCTCCTCTTCACTGGCCAGAAAGAAGAAAGTTGTAAACATTTCTGAGGAACACAAACTTCAATACTGTTCAATCCATATGACAGTGATTCCAAACTGCATGCAATCAATGGAATATGTCAACCTATTTATTTCCACTTAATAATATTTATTTATTATGGTATAATTTACACATTTACATAAAGCACTTTTTATATTTTTATTTAATTTATTGTTCTGTAGTCAATATAAATTATTTGATATATAACCATCCATACTTTACATGGTGTAGATATGTACTGTATTTTTCAACATTTACATTGACATTATTGCAATTTATAACTAGTTTATTTCTGTTTACAGTTTATATTTACAAATCACATCCCAGACTTACAGCAACAGAGCGTGTCGTGCTCTTTTCACAGAGCATTAATTGTTACAATATTGTTAATATTTCATTTCAAGTTTTTATATCATTTGCTGTCATACACCATAAATTGTTTCTGTAGTGCACCGCAATAAATTATAATTAAAATACCGATACTTGCTAGTGTAATAATTTCGAAATGCTATAGAAATACAATGCTGATAATACCAACCTGGAAAGAAAGTAACAGTTTATACTTGCAAAATTCTGTGAAGAAAGTGTGGCATGTTGTAACTTATAATTTGCAATATTTTATAAATAAGGTGACTCCCCTCAAATGCTGTCTAAAAAGACTGACCCCCCTCTTGATACTTCAGAAATAAGCCCCCCCCCCCCCGGAATTTGCCGGCCCAGCCCCGGCTGTAATAACTGATCCGTCCCTTAGTCATAAAGTCGTATGCCGAGGGCCTCATGTGCTGCGTCTGCCATCCTAATCTCCAAAATAAATGGGAGTGATAAGATTGAGGTGTACAAATATACATACCAAATGTATGAAACTGAGCACTACTGGTTGCATTTTGGTGTCCGCAAGAGGGCGCAGTAACACATAAATTTAGTAGATAGCATGCGGCGTCAGTTTCAAAATTGTTAATAATTAGAACTTTTCACCTGGGTACATATTCTCGTCGCCGACCTAAGACATATTCAAACCCCAGATAATAATTCCAGATAATATTTAACATTATTGATAGCACTGTATTTGTTTAGAGATTAGAAGAGGTATTTTCGTAAGCTGTAATCAATTGTTTTTATTTTCGTAATGATGTAATTTAAATAAAAAAATAAAAAAACGTAAATTCGTAGACATGGACAGGATGTAAAATGTAATCAGCTATTTTGATTCGTCCGTAATTTGTACAAAGATTTTTTTTTTTTTTTTTTTTTTTTTGTAATCGTATAAAGCATTTTCCACATTAAATGTAATTCTTACGCAATTTCCAATTTTGATTCTTAAACACAAATTATCAAATATATTACATGTATAACAATTTAATATGAAATTTGCTTCATCTGTAAAGTGTAAAAACCTATTTTTTACTGTAAATGTAAAAACTGTAAAAACGTAAAATGCCTTGTTTTATTCCCTGTAACCTGTACCAGCAACCCCCCTTACCCCCCTTCTTTAGACCATGGAGGTCTTCATTGTTTTACCTCCATGTTTAGACCAACACTTGGCACGGCCATACTGACTGACTTACTGACTACATTTATTAGTTGTCTGTATTTTATTGTATTTTATTTTATCATGAATTATTTCTCAGGCCGTGTTTATTTCAACGCAGAAATATTCGTCGTATTTATTATATGTGACGTCATTTGCGTTGGAGGGGTTTATTTTAAAGCGCATTGAACTGAGACTAATGCTACTCAGTAATCGATGGATGTTCTTTATTACAGATACACACCCACGAATCGCGATAATAGTTAATACATACCCCATTCAAAACAACTTCACGCCGCATCACTTTTTCTCCACAAAAGTTTTCGCGCAATGATATTACAAGCATATCATATTTTTTTAAAATAGCCCATATGTTTAGCATGTAACGCAAATATTGAACGAATTCTTGATTACGCCTTGAGTAGAGGGAAATTTGCTGGAATACATTACAAAATACAAGTTTGACAAGGTACTATATTTTTCAGCGGACGTCGCGAAGCCCGGAAACGTGGTTATAAATATTTGATATCACTTCCGGGTTCCCAAGTTGTGTCGTCACTGAGTGCTGTGTGTTATCGTGTCGACTCTGTTTATATATGTGAAGTTTGGCCAAGTGTTCGCGTTTTCTCGGAGAGGTGGGTCAATTTATAACGTTTTACTACTTTTGAGACTAAATGTGTATGCATACACGACTTGAATAAGAGCTGTCGTCACGGTTGTTTCACCCGTGACAGGACAGAGTGAATACGGCATGGATAAAGTGTACTGTGTCGTTGTCCTTCGATTTCCGGTGAACTGCGTTGTCTTCGGCTCAGTGTCTCAGAGATTATCGATCGATCGGGTGGTCCACCTACAAATCGATAAAATATATTTTATTTCGTTTGTTTCGTCTGATTCACTTAGTATATTTGTCATAATACTTATATATTTTTTCAACTGTGATGAGTGAAGAAACTGAATAACTTAGAACAGCCATCGGGCACTGCATTAAGTTTGATGTGTGTGCCACCTGGTGAGGGGTTTGTGGTGTTTGATAGTGGTTAATCATTAATAGGCACAAAGATCTGATTAAATTCTCTCTGTATAATTAGTAAGCGTAGTAAATTAGAATTTTTTTCTTCAAAATTTACTATCATAAAATGAATGAGTTGGTAAAATGTCTTGTTATCGCTTACTACATTTACTACCACTCAACAACATTAACGCATCAATATTTCGTTTTGTTCAATTATGTCTTATTACACATGATAAAACAAAAGTATTACTTTATAATCAGTCAAAATTACAAGATGGCTCAAATCGGAAATGCAGCAAAGGAAAATAAGATATTTTGTACATTGATCAGAAGAGATAAGATTATTGACAGAAGTACATTTAGAAAGCAAAATAGAAAAAGGATAATCAAAGAGAACGTGGTCAGTGATATTATGCAGTGACTTAATGTAAATGTGTAATGTCAAAATGTGCGTGAAAAACAAAACAACAATCCGCAAATCTACCAACAGTAGTTGTGATTAACATATGACTAATGAATTATCTTACTTATTAATTGCTTTAATATCTCCGAAAATAGAACAGATTCCACTGTTTGAAAAAAATGTCAATAATGTTCTATTAAACCACAGTCCCTTTGGTCTAATCACAGTTGCTAGTACGTGATCACATCTGATTTAAAGTGGCTTACTGTGGGACTAGGATTTAATTCTCTTGGGTTAAAGTTGGTGTGTTATAACTTGTTATGACAGTGGGATATGTTCTCTACAGCTACTAGTGTTTTGTTTCCAGTATCTAATTCTAGTGCCAACACTAATCTATACAGTATGCCTGGGAGTATGCTGAGCATGTTGATTTGATCTGCTTTGCTTTGATGGAATGCAATTTGTAAAATGTCTTAACTTGTTCATATCTTTTGATCAATAACTCAAATTTTACATAAGAACATGCACAACTAGTAGAGCAAATATTATTTCCAACGTGAGCGCATCCAGAGACATTGTTCTGAAAAAAAAAAATATGGTTGATTGTGTACTATAGACTTCCTGTTTTTCTTCAATTTGAACTTTTAGATTTACGTTGTTAGTGTTTCATAAAATATATACCTCCCTAGTCATCGTACTGTGAAATCAAAATTAAAAAAACTTGTATACTGGTACTGGTAGTAAATTCCATTAGCACTATTAACAATTATATGTAGGTGTGAACACGACTTGTTCTAGTTGATAAGCAAACATATGGGTTTAGTCGTACTTGCTTGAACCTAACAACCGTAGTCAAAATGGGGTAGTAATAGCCACGAGTCAAAAATTAATCTGTAATTCAGACTGTTTCTTAAAGTAACTAAGCCATACTGCTTTATAAACCTACATATCATCTGAAAGCTTTAATATATAATACATATACTGTAAAAGGATTAATTATTCACTGGGATTTAATTTTTAAAACTGAAATAAATTGAACCCAGCGAATATGTAAATATTAGCATAGAACACATTATGTAAATGGTAAAACCGTGAATTTAAAACCCACTGAATATGCCTGAAATGGTAAATCAGTGAAATTTAAACCCAGTAAAAATTAGTCGTTTTACAGTAGTCAAATACGGTTGTATACATGTCGTAACCAATGTTTTGCTTCACTGTAATCTCTGAACTACCGGGTACTGTGAATTTTTGGCAGTTAATACCCGGTATGTAAAAAAACTTTTTTTTTTAAATCTGAAACTCTGTGAAAGGTCAGTATAAATTTTGCTACGAATAGTTTTATAATGTTTTGCAATATTTATTATTCGTGCTTTATTTGTTTCATTGAAGATGTCAAAATATGTTGACATGTAATTTGGCAGCAAGGTGTTGGATTGTTTAAATATTATCTTCAAAAATACAAGATCATATTATTAAATTATGAGAATGCATTTTAGCTGGGAAAGTCCAAAATTTGATTTGGTTTTTTTAGGCGGAAATAGTGGCCAGAGTAACTGTTGCGTGCCTCATAAAACAAAAAGGTCAGAGGTCAGGCATTGTAATAGAGCTGTTGAAAATAATAGATGACTGGTTGTTACTTTAACCCCTACCGGTAGATACTTGTTGCAGGGTATTGACTCAGTTTATAAGTGTAAAATATATCAGCCATTGTTACTTTGGTGCTAGTAACTCACAGTACAGATGTTTTTTTTCACATCAATGCTAATTGTAATACAGGTACCTCATGCATGTACCTCTGTAATGTTCATACTCACTGTAAATCTATTAAGTTCTGTAAACACTGTATTAAAAGCTGCAGCTTCTATTAAAATGGTACAATGCAACAGAATGGATGCGGCTTCTATTAGAGCCCCAACACATATGAGAAATAATGATTTTGTGGTTCTCAATTATTCAACAAGAATGGGTGCGACTTCTATTAGGGATGCAGCTTCTAATACAAATTTTACGGTTCTTCTTACCCCTTCTTAGATTATTTAAAAAGTTGGAATTATTTAATTTTGGCAAGAAGCCATAATTTGGGTTGAAAAATACATGGATGTACAAAAAAAAACATGGGTAATAAATTTGTCACTGATTTATCATAAATGTTGTGAGACATATTTCCATGGCTTTTATTTTTTTTTTTGTCCCATCGTTATTATATTTCCATGATGAATTTAATATCAGGCCAACAATTTTATTTATGCCAACTGTAAGTGCTAAATTATGAATATTGTTGATTAGAAACTATTCTAGCTCTCTCATTAGCCTAATATTCAACAATTAAATCTCAGTTTTTAATTAACAATAAAATCGGTTTATAATAATACTTTCATGTGTCATTCATATTATATTAGATAATGTTTTTGTTATTTTGTCTGATTTTATATTTTAAAAACATTCTTGCGAAAATGTCATGCCTGTCCAAAGACTTTGCATCTTACAAACTTAAATCTATTCAATTCAAAGTATTTGTCAATGAAGTTATCTTGTAAAATTGGTGAATGGTAGGGTGGGGTCTGTGTTAATGGGGAGCCATTGTGAGTATTACACAGCCATACACAGTACAACTGTGACAGTAAAGTTCCAAGGTTTAATGATTTATTTAAATTGTAGACATATACCAAGTATAATGAATGACCTTTGTGACTAAACACTCAATGTGCTATACTATTTATCTGTGCGTGTCCAGCTGTGAAGATTCCTATAACTACTGCACATACCTCATGCTTTGTGGTTAGTTGTAATCATCTTAAAAAAAAACAGCTGCCAAAATGCTGGATTTATTGGAAATATTTACTTGTTGCAAAATTTTCTTAAAATTAAATTAAATTAAATTAAATTATTTGTACTTGTATTCCATGATGAAAATAAATTACAATCAGTAGTTGTTTACACTGACCTCATTACATCAATAATGAGATGGAAATTTTGTTTATTAACCTCGGGCATCAATAATGAGATGGTAATTTTGTTTATTGACCTCATTACATCAATAATGAGATGGTAATTTTGTTTATTGACCTCGGGCATCAATAATGAGATGGAAATTTTGTTTATTGACCTCATTACATCAATAATGAGATGGTAATTTTGTTTATTGACCTCATTGCATCAATAATGAGATGGAAATTTTGTTTATTGACCTCATTGCATCAATAATGAAATGGAAATTTTGTTTATTGACCTCATTACATCAATAATGAGATGGTAATTTTGTTTATTGATCTCATTGCATCAATAATGAGATGGAAATTTTGTTTATTGACCTTTGTACATTAATAATGAGATGGTAATTTTGTTTATTGACCTTTGTGCATCAATCATGAAGTAATTATTGATTGGTGCATCAATAATGAGATAGTAGTTTTGTTTATTGACCTCAATGCATCTTTAATGAGTTAGTAATTTTCTTTATTGACCTCAATGCATCAATAATGAGATAGTAGTTTTGTTTATTGACCTCAATGCATCTTTAATGAGTTAGTAATTTTCTTTATTGACCTCAATGCATCAAAAATGAGGTAGTAGTTTTGTTTATTGACCTCAATGCATCTTTAATGAGGTATTAATTTCTTTTATTGACCTCATTACATTACACCATAGTTTTATGTTAACTCCATAAAGTTTTATAGTTGTAAAGGAGCTGAATTGAACAGTACCGTGCTGATGTCACTCAGCGTCCCGTGTTAGGTGAATTGAACAGTACCGTGCTGATGTCACTCAGCGTCCCGTGTTAGGTGAATTGAACAGTACCGTGCTGATGTCACTCAGCGTCCCGTGTTAGGTGAATTGAACAGTACCGTGCTGATGTCACTCAGCGTCCCGTGTTAGGTGAATTGAACAGTACCGTGCTGATGTCACTCAGCGTCCCTTGTTAGGTTTTCAGTCTCTTTTACTCTGTTAGACCCAAAATAGTGAGAAGTAAACAGAAAAAAAACGACAAAACAAGGCAAACAAAACAACTTCCTGGTGCATTACATGTTGCTATGGTGATTTAGTGTTGTGTATGTATTGACTTGTTGAAATGTACTGGCAACTAGACCATATTTTGTCAACCTATCAAGGCTGTGTTTATCGTAAGCTACGTCTCATATGTCTAAAAAACGCTGATGTTAACACTGTTTTTTTGTTGTGCAAATATTAGATAATCTGCTGAATTGTCTGCTCGC